TCCAGGAACGCTCTTCATGAACTTCACCTGCAACACAACCACACAGGCCAAAGCTCATCTACCTGTACCGGGAGTTCGGCTTAGTTCTGATGAGGAGCTCCATTCCCAAAAACCCAAACACACTCCAGCATGTTCTCCATCAGACCCAGGAACCTCACAAACCTTCTCCACATTGCCATACAAACAGAAGAGGTTGAAGATGTGACTGCAGTTGGTCTTGGTGGGGTTGAGGCCGCTGACCATGGCGACGGAGCTGGAACCCAACATGGAGGAGGAAGAGGTTGAGGAGGAGAAGGTCTTTGGGAGGAGAGGAGGGTAGGAGATCATCTCCTGGGCCTGTTCATGGCTCCTCCTGTACCTGCTGTTAGCAGGCAGTGGCAGTAGGGGACAATGTGGGCCTGCACACACACACATACACACACACACACACACAGACACACACACACACGCGGTGCCATAGTTAAGAGTGGGATTCAGACAGAGGAGACAGCAGAGTGACAGGAAGGGGTGCAAGAAGAGGTAAATACCATAGCCATTGGAAGGATGCTCTCCAAGGATGGCTTGACGCTGCCGCCCCTTTCCCCGATCTGAAACACACATTATTACGAGGATTTAGGGGAAAGGAGGTCCGACACAACAGCGCTACGATCTACGGAAACATTTACGCTCCATCGGGGCTGCTGTGTGATTCTGGCTCAGAGGCTTTCCTGAAGACATAAAACTTAAAGACTAACCCTAACCAGGGCTAACCTCTACCCTAGCACGCTTCCAGTGTCTCTAACTGCATAGACGGTTTCACCTTTGACCTATTTGCTATGGTTTTTGTGGTGTGTGTGTGTGTGGTTGGGTTCAGTGATTCCCCTTAGCTCCACAGCTAAAGGCTTCCTACCATCAGTGGTCACTCACCTGCACTCACTCAGGACTTTAAGCCACCTTCAGCTTCTCCTTTGACTGTGTGATCCTAAAGCCCTCTAAGCGGTTTTCATGGTTCTACACCCTGTACCATCACCGCGACCCTTCCTGTCTCCATTCATAGACGTTTATATGGCGTGGTATGGGGGCCAAAATTAAGACTACTGCCCAGCAGCAGGAGGCTATATAAATTCTGAAGCAAACTACCGACCTGATTAATGATAAGCTGGCACCGGTAACTGAGAGGCTGGCGCTGCTTACTGAGAAATAGCACTTTTACCGGCTTTATTACTAGATACGCTAGGGACTAGCAGCCCTCGGCTGGTCATTGACTGGTTCACACACTCCCTCTGCTATCTATTAGCATGGATAGGCTAGTGTTAGCCTGGAAAGGCTGGCATTAGCATCAGAGAAGCTAGCCATTAGCGTGCCTAGGCTGGCCACTAGCTGGATTTCCTACACCCTTGATGGACCATTAGCATGGATAGGCTGGCATTAGCATCAGAGAAGCTAGCCATTAGCGTGCCTAGGCTGGCCACTAGCTGGATTTCCTACACCCTTGATGGACCATTAGCATGGATAGGCTGGCATTAGCATCAGAGAAGCTAGCCATTAGCGTGCCTAGGCTGGCCACTAGCTGGATTTCCTACACCCTTGATGGACCATTAGCATGGATAGGCTGGCGTTAGCATCGGCGAGGCTAGCCAATAGCATGCCTAGGCTGGCCACTAGCTGATTAGTGACTCTCTGAGACATGCTAATGGCTAGCCTCTCCAATGCTAACACAGCCCGTCCAGGCTAACGCTAGCCTATCCATGCTAATAGACAGCAGAGGGAGTGTTTGAACCAGTCAATGACCAGCCGAGGGCTGCTAGTCCCTAGCGTATCTAGTAATAATGCCGGTAAAGGTGCTATTGCTCAGTAAGTAGCGCCAGCCTCTCACTTACAGGCACAAGCTTATCATTAATCAGGTCGGTAGTTTGCTTCAGAATTTATATAGCCTCCTGCTGCTGGGCAGTAGTCAATTTTGGCCCCCATACTGCACCATACGTTTAAAGTTCATGCTCACTTGTTTGTTCAGCACATCTGCAGTGGTCTCTACGATAAATGGATGCCTTGTGAGTCGATGTCTGAGGGAGAGAAGCTCCGGCGTTTCTGTTTCAGGAGGTAGAAGTGAGCCACGGCCGAGTTGCGCTTCAGACAGGATCTGGAGTCTTATTTCCTGATATGTGAACATCTCTCCCCTGATTGGCTAACAGCAACACGACTCTAACACTGACTCGGTTTGCTCTGCAACGTTAATGTTTTATCTCCACAAATAACACAAGCCTGGAGGAGTTCTGCTGTGTGGTGGAGTTGTTAATGCTAACGGTTAGCTGCTACTAGCTGAGACATTCTCTGCTGTTTCCTAAACGCTGTAAGTGTGACAGAAAAACACGTAAACACTAAAAATGTACATTGGTCAGGGGGCGTCTAACTTTTACAACGGAGTAATCAAGTGAGCACCAGTCATTGATGTTTGGTACCCCGAGTCAGGGCGTGATTGCTCGCCTACAGCTGGTTCAGGATTCAGCTGCTAGGTTTTTGACAGGCACAAGACGCCGTGACCATATTACACATGTGTTGGCGGAACTCCACGGGCTTCCCATCCAGTACAGAGAAAAGTTTTACCCTCTGGAGGCAGGCGTTAAAACATACCTACCTGGTTACTCCACATTTGTATTTCATTAACATTTTTTTACTCAGAAGTTCCCTGAAGGACTTAGCTGTTCATCTTTTTATCAAAACTTATTTTGAGCCTGAGAGGGTTGAAGTGCTGGTGCTTGCGTTTAGGGCTCTTCCCGGTACTGCTCCTGCTTATCTATCAGCAATGCAACAAAGGCATGTCCCCACCCGCTCTCTTCACTCCGACGACCCGAGGTGGTCCCTCGTTCCAGATACAAATCGAAGGAGGATCGCACATTCGCGGTCCTTGCTCCAACTTTGTGGAAAGGTCTATCTTTGACTGTTAGGTTGGCGCCTTCCTTCCAGATTTTTAAGTCACGTCTGGGGCGACGGTGGCACAGGAGTTAAGTGCTCGCCCCGTAATCGGAAGGTTGCAGGTTCGAGCCCCACTCAGTCTGTCGCTGACGTTGTGTCCTTGGGCAAGACACTTCACCCACCTTGCCTGCTGGTGGTGGTCGGAGGGACCGGTGGCGCCAGTGCTCGGCAGCCTCGCCTCTGTCAGTGCGCCCCAGGGCAGCTGTGGCTACATCCTAGCTCATCACCACCAGTGTGTGAATGTGTGTGTGAATGGGTGAATGACTGATTGTGTTGTAAAGTGCCTTGGGGGGTTCCAGGACTCTAGAAGGCGCTAAATCAAATACAGGCCATTTACCATTTTCCCATTTACGTCTGAAGGCTCGTTAAGATGTCCAGGCATTTTCACCACTGGGGTCTGCAACTTTGTGTTGATTTCAATTGTTTAATTGTTGTTTTTTTCCAGTTTTTATGCTGTTTTTATTGTATTTTTATTATTTTTACCTTTTATTGGATTTATTAATGCGACTGCTTTTTATTGTTATGTTCAGCACCTTGGGCTTCTGCTAAAGGTTGTGGAAGGTGCTCTATAAACAAATAAATGAAATGTGTTCCTGTGCACCAGTCATGTGTTCTACTCACTCATGTGTGGTGTTAGCAGGTTCTCCCCATGCATGAATGGGCTTTCTCCAGGTTTGTCCAAAAGAAAATCCATAGATGATCTAGAGCCTTTACAAGTGTGTGTGTGTGTGTGTGTGTGTGTGTGTGTGTGTGTGTGTGTGTGTGTGTGTGTGTGTGTGTGTGTGTGTGTAAATGGTTGTTTGACTCTGTGTGTCCCGTTGATGGTCTCCAGGATGTCCCTCTCGTATAATTCAGGAGGTAATTTTAGCTTCTGGTCAGAGTTCATTCATCACTATGACCCTGTTGTAACAGAGCTGCTGGGTGAGTGTGTGCATGTCTGCTTTGTGTTTGTGTGTAAGTTTGATGGTGATGTCCTACCTCGGTGCAGGAGGAAGGGTTTGGTGTAATCCCAGCTGGTGTTGTCATTGCGAACGACGTTCAGTCTGTTGGGCTGCAGGGGGCGACAGAGCACAGCACCTCTGGGTGGGTGTGTGTGCGTGGGCATGAGAATGAGGATGCATTTGTGTGCGTGCACCTGAGTGTGTGTTTGTTAGAGATTGTGTACGTGTATGTATATGTGTGTGTGTGTGTGTGTGTGTGCGCACGTGTGTGGGTTTACCCGAGCATATTCGATCTTGAGCGTGCAGCAGCCAGAGTAAATATCAGCCCCATTCAGAGCTAGCTTGGCCTTCTGAGCATCCTCCACTGACTCAAATGTTAACAAACTCATTAAGGATGATTCATCGGGATATCAAGCAGCCAGCCAATCACGAGCCGAGACGTGAAACAAAACCCACACAAGCATGGCTGGGGCCTCTAAATGCAAACGTGCTCTGGTCCAACTAAAGCAGCCCCTTCAGCTGCAGCTCGCTGCCTCACCTGCTCTCATCGTAACCATCTACCATGTCACATTTCATCAGCAGCAGCAAAAGTAAACATAAAAGTTCAAACCGCGTCTTTACGGGCACCTGCTGATGTATCCTCCCCAGCTAACAAGGGTGGTTTAGCATGTGTGGGTAAAAATAAAAATTTGAAAGTAAATACAAATCTCACTGAATAATAACTGGTCTAAGCTGACTAAGATTAAACATTAAGCTGCTGCAGAAGGTGAAGACAAATGGAGACAGGATATTCCACCATGGCCTGGATGCCGTTGCGCTTGAAGATGACGATTCGCAGGACGTTTCCAACAGGGTTACAGACTGTGTACAGCACATCCTGTCAGACACAGAGACAAGTCACGGGTCATCCCAGGTCGAATATGGAAAAGCTTCGACTTCAGGGAGCATGAAGGCTGTTTTAAACAGACTATATTTAACTACCAGACACTACATAGACATCTACGACAGCTACGTGTTGTATTGATCTTATGTTTTAAAGCATGAATTAACTTAAACTATTGCAAAACTGAATTAATAAAACCACAGATTAAAATACATCTAAAGAGTTGTAAAAAATAGGATTTTGGTTTGTTTTTTGTAAATCAAAATATTTTCAGGGCTTTTGTTTGTTGAACTAAATAAACCAAGAAATCATGTGTGTGCTTCGGCACCCAGAGAAACAGGCTAGAAAAGCTGATGGTTGTGGAACCAATAGAGACCGACACTGTGTAGAAAAACTAAAGCAGCCTATGTTCAAGAGTTATTTTAGAGCCCCCAAACTCTGGAATTATCATCCAAGGCATTCAATTAAAGTTGAAAACTAATTCTATTTTCTAGCTTTTCAGTCTGCATGGCTGTCTTCTGCTGCAGTTCTATAGTTTTATAAAATGGCTTTTTAAGCTTATAATTTTGTGTTATTTGTGGTTTGGATAGCGCTGACACTGTTGTTTACATTGCTGTCATTTTATTCTGTTTTTTATGCAATGATGTTTAATGTTTTATGTTTGTTGTTCTAGAACACTGGTTGGCCTTGAGCTGTTTTATAGTGATTTATAAATAAAGTATGATGGATATGTTATAGTAGGGTACAGCACGGTAAGCTTTGGTATGTATGGTATTCTATAGTATGGTGTGGTATTATTGTATGGTGTGCTATAGTACGTTACGGTAACCTATGGTATGGTATGGTGTGGTATGATATGGTGTGGTATGGTATGGTATGGTATGGTATGATATGGTACGATATGGAGTGGTATTATTGTATGGTGTGCTACAGTACGTTACGGTAACCTATGGTATGGCATGGTGTGGTATGATATGGTATGATATGGTATGATATGGTGTGGTATGGTATGGTATGGTATGGTATGGCATGGTATGATATGGTGTGGTATGGTGTGGTATGGTATGTTGTGGGATATGGTATGGTATGGTATGGTATGGTATGGTATGGTGTGGTATGGTATGTTATGATGTGGTATGGTGTGGTATGGTATGGTATGGTATGGTGTGATATGGTGTGGTATGGTATGGTGTGGTATGGTATGTTATGATGTGGTATGGTGTGGTATGGTGTGGTATGGTGTGATATGGTGTGGTATGGTATGGTGTGGTATGGTATGGTATGGTATGGTATGGTGTGGTATGGTATGTTGTGGGATATGGTATGGTGTGGTATGGTATGGTATGGTATGGTGTGGTATGGTATGTTGTGGGATATGGTATGGTATGTTATGGTATGGTATGGTATGGAATGGTGTGGTATGGTATGTTATGATGTGGTATGGTGTGGTATGGTATGGCATGGTGTGGTATGGTATGTTATGATGTGGTATGGTGTGGTATGGTGTGGTATGGTGTGATATGGTGTGGTATGGTATGGTGTGGTATGGTATGGTATGGTATGGTATGGTGTGGTATGGTATGTTGTGGGATATGGTATGGTGTGGTATGGTATGGTATGGTGTGGTATGGTATGTTGTGGGATATGGTATGGTGTGGTATGGTATGGTATGGTGTGGTATGGTATGTTGTGGGATATGGTATGGTATGTTATGGTATTGTATGGTATGGTATGGTGTGGTATGGTGTGGTATGGTATGGTACATTTTGGTATGGTATGGTATGGGATTATAGTATGGGATTATAGTATGGTATAGTATGGTGTGGTATGGTATGGTATGGTATGGTATGGTGTGGCATGGTATGTTATGATGTGGTATGATGTGGTATGGTATGGTATGGTATGGTGTGGTGTGGTATGGAATGGTGTGGTATGGTATGTTATGGTGTGGTGTGGTATGGTATGCTGTGGTATGGTATGGAATGGTATGGTATGGTACGGTATAGTATGGTGTGGTATGGTATGGTATGGTGTGGCATGGTATGTTATGATGTGGTATGATGTGGTATGGTATGGTGTGGTGTGGTATGGAATGGTGTGGTATGGTATGTTATGGTGTGGTGTGGTATGGTATGCTGTGGTAAGGTATGGAATGGTATGGTACGGTATAGTATGGTGTGGTATGGTATGGTATGGTATGGTATGGTATGGTGTGGCATGGTATGTTATGATGTGGTATGATGTGGTATGGTATGGTATTGTATGGTATGTTGTGGGATATGGTATGGTATGGTATGGTATGGTATGTTGTGGGATATGGTATGGTATGGTATGGTATGTTATGGGATATGGTATGGTATGGTGTGGTATGGTATGTTATGATGTGGTATGGTGTGGTATGGTATGGTATTGTATGGTATGGTATGGTATGGTATGGTATGGTATGGTTTGGTGTGGTGTGGTGTGGTATGGTATGGTATGGTATGGTATGGTATGGTATGGTATGGTATGGGATTATAGTATGGGATTATAGTATGGTATGGTATGGTATGGTATGGGATAATAGTATGGTATGGTATGGTATGGTATGGTATGGTATGGTGTGGTATGGAATGGTGTGGTATGGTATGTTATGGTGTGGTATGGTATGGTATGCTGTGGTATGGTATGGAATGGTATGGTATGGTACGGTATAGTATGGTGTGGTATGGTATGGTATGGTGTGGCATGGTATGTTATGATGTGGTATGATGTGGTATGGTATGGTATGGTGTGGTGTGGTATGGAATGGTGTGGTATGGTATGTTATGGTGTGGTGTGGTATGGTATGCTGTGGTATGGTATGGAATGGTATGGTATGGTACGGTATAGTATGGTGTGGTTTGGTATGGTATGGTATGATGTGGCATGGTATGTTATGATGTGGTATGGTATGGTATTGTATGGTATGTTGTGGGATATGGTATGGTATGTTGTGGGATATGGTATGGTATGGTATGGTATGGTGTGGTATGGTATGTTATGATGTGGTATGGTTTGGTATGGTATGGTATGGTATGGTATGGTATGGTATGGTATGGGATTATAGTATGGGATTATAGTATGGTATAGTATGGTGTGGTATGGTATGGTATGGTATGGTATGGTGTGGCATGGTATGTTATGATGTGGTATGATGTGGTATGGTATGGTGTTGTATGGTATGTTGTGGGATATGGTATGGTATGGTATGGTATGGTATGGTATGTTGTGGGATATGGTATGGTATGGTATGGTGTGGTATTTTATGTTATGATGTGGTATGGTGTGGTATGGTATGGTATTGTATGGTATGGTATGGTATGGTATGGTATGGTATGGTGTGGTGTGGTGTGGTGTGGTATGGTATGGTATGGTATGGTATGGGATTATAGTATGGGATTATAGTATGGTATGGTATGGTATGGTATGGTATGTTAAGGTGTGGTGTGGTGTGGTGTGGTATGGTATGGTATGGTATGGTATGGGATTATAGTATGGGATTATAGTATGGTATGGTATGGTATGGTATGGTATGGTGTGGTGTGGTGTGGTGTGGTGTGGTATGGTATGGTATGGTATGGTATGGTATGGTATGGGATTATAGTATGGGATTATAGTATGGTATGGTATAATATGGTATGGTATGGTATGGTATGGGATTATGGTATGGTATGGTATGGTATGGTATGGTATGGTATGGTAGGGTATGGTACAGGCTTGGGTTATGTTTGGCTGGTTTGGGAGCAGAACCAAAACCAGCAATAACCCTTCCACACATCAAAGCCATAACAGAAAAAAATAAGGATAGTGATGAAAAGACACAACATCAACACACCAACAAAACCATACTGACGGCCAATCTAGTCATCTACAAAATACCACGTAAACTCTGCAGTAAAACATGCATAGGAGAAACGGGATGCAAACGCAACACTTGAAAAACAGAACATCAAACAAAGCAAAACAAACAAACAAAACAAATTTAAATGTGAAAGGAGTTTAAAAGCAGGCAGGAGCAGCAGCTTAAGTAAAGGAGTTGTGCTCACAGTAGTAATTGGGTACAGAGGGTTCTGGATGGAGAGCAGCAGGACTTTGTTTCTGCTGGAGGGGTCATCTGCGTTGGTGGGGCGAGTGATTCTCTGACTTGTGGAGAAATTAAAGAAAGCCTGCTGGTCTGCGATGTAGATGGCCTCCCTGGCTCCACAAGTCACGCAGCGCTCTGCACTCTCCATGCTGTCGAACTCCACCAGAGCCTGGCGCTTGAATGGCATCATCATCACGTAACTACCGGCACAAAAAACTTGGTTTAGTTAGGAGGAGGAACAGTCAGCAAGCTAGGTGAACTTTACTTTGGCTTATTCCTTCTTTTACTTCCTATTGCACAGTCCCTGAAGGAAAATGCTTTAACTTCAAAAGTCAACCAGCAAGATGCAGAGAAGGCTCAGTACAAGTGGTCCAGTGGAGAGAGAGCCGTAAGGGGATAATATAGACGTATGCCTCTGTAAAGTAAAAGACAGCTGGTAAAAAACGTTTGAGGGTTTTCATCCGGCTTTTCCGCCTTGTTATTGTTTCAGGCTAGTTCCATGTTTTATTATTACATTACTGTTGAACAAAGTAAAAGTAAGAGAAAGTGCTTGTGTGTCCTTGTGCATTTTGTTCATGCTTTTCTGTCTTTTACGAACGTTTTGTTTCCAGTCAGATTTAACATTTTGGTGTCCACTTTTTAACACGGGGTACGCAGCTGGAACCCTCGAAGAACTCGAAAGATTGGGTCCAGATGGGTGTTTTTGTCCTTTGCCCAGTCGGGGCCCACAGAGTGCCCAGATTCTCCCCAAATCACACCTATGCAGGCATTTGAGACGGGTCCTATTATATAACCCTATATGAGGGCCGCCTATCGGACCATTTCCAACCCATATGTGGTCGCCAAATGTGAATGTTGGCTGTGCTGTGTAACAGTAGGATCTGTGTCCGTGTGTTGTTCACCAGCCTGATGCCTCGCTGCCTTAGAACAGCACTGAATTCCTGTTCCTGCCTCACAACGTTTCTTTAACCTTTTAGTTTTGTAGAACATTTAAACCACAAAATGTGCACCAGTCAGTGGGTGTTCTGAAACCAGATGACCTCCTAGAAACCATAAACGCACACAGGATGCTGCCTGCTTGTGTCACAACACCAGCGCTCTGCTCTCTTCGGCTAAGGCTTTTCTACGGTGGTGTTTCTTCAAAAATACCTGCGAGTTGATGAGAAATGAACTGTGAGAAATTTGACCACAGACGGATTTTAGCAGCTAGGCCAGGCTGGAGGAAGTGATGCACTACAAGATTGACTTCAGGAAGTTTGTCACTGTGGTAAATGTGTAAGAATCTGTTCGTTGTGATGGACAGAAAAGCAACAAGGAATTAATTTTTATTAATTTAGCCTTTATTTAAACAGGAAAGACTCTTGAGATTAAACATCTGATTGCATGTTCGGGCCATCAACACAACAATGAAGGAGAACAGTTCACAAATCACAGAAAAACTAAAAGATCATGAAGGGGATCAGGAATTCAAAGTAAAAACAAAGCAGGTGTTAAAGTCACCAGTTTTACACAGCAGACTAACCGTTCATGAGTCGAAGCATTTCCACGCAGATGTTAGAGTATGGAAAATGTTTCGTTGCTGGCGAGTCCCGTCAGAGCCAGCTGGTTGTGGAGCTGCTTCCACGAGTAAGGGGCAGAATAATTGAGTGTATTTTCCTAAACTCAGTTTGAGGCCTTGGTACATTCTGAAAGAACAAGTAATTTAAACGTAAACAGCGTCCTTCTGTAAATGAGAACATGCAGGTGATTTCATCTGCAGGAGGACAAAGCGGCCGGACTAAAGTCGTCATTTGCAGTTTTTTTTTTACTGTGTGGGCGTCGGACGAGCCCCCACACCGTCAGAACAAACATCTCAGCTGTGAAGCCGATCTTCATCCGCATACGTCACATGTCATGTAATCAGGAAGCAGAACATCCATGTGTTAGGAGATCGTTTTGGGCCGCTGCTGTAAAAAAAGTGAGGCGCGAACCGGAAAAGCTTCTGCCGATCACAATTCAACAACGGATTATGAAAGAACGGATAACGCTCGACAAGCGCAGATTCTTCCTTTTTTATTTTCTATTATTATTATTTTTTCCCGTGTCCTGTCTGGCTGTGAAGCAAACAGAACTGATGTCTGAATGCTGGTGACAAGCCTTACAGATTTACTCTCAGGTGGAGCATCAAAGCGTTTGCTTTTAATGTCACGCCTGATACTTAAAACTTTATTGATGTTGTTTTTGAATACTTTCTAATTCCGACCAGACACGGAGTCAGAGGTGAAAGAGAAAGGAAGAGACTGTGTGTGTGTGTGTGGGGGGGGGGGCACAAAAATAAACAATAATGAACAAGAGTCTGGTTCTAGACCTGCAGAAAGAGAGAAGAAAAAAAACTAAAACAAACAAAAAAGGGGACACAACAACAATACATCAGGAGCAAGCTATCACTGCATCAGCCTGATGATGAAATATAAAATCAACATTGTTTAACTGAAGAATCACGATAATAAATCACAGTGTATTAAGTGCCAACCACAGCCTTAACACATGTGTTGAACGTGCCCAAGCCCATACTTATGAGAGCACCATGTGAGCACCTGTGTGTGTACACGCGCTTGTTTATGTAAGGTTTCTCTATAGGAGCGTCTAATAGAGAGTGTGAGGGACCACAGATCTGCCCCCTAAAGATGTGTAGGAGATGGGGGGAGCTCCAAGTCCCAGAGATCCAGGCGCTTCCCCAGAGCACAGAAACCCCAAGGAGACTGCAACCAGAAAGGTCCCCGCCCCCTCGAGAGGAGCAGAGGATCGCCCCAGGGGGCCACAACCAGCAGCCGGCAGAGTCCCGGGAGATATCAGCGGCAAGCCCACAGGCCCACCCGCAGCCTCCCACCCCTTAGCCGGCCGAGCCCGGGACCCAGCGACGCGGGACCCAGGGGCGACCACCCCTGCCGGGGACCCAGCAGAGCCCAGGGACCCAGACCCCACCAGGCAGCCACCGGGATTGGTCAGGCAGACGCCAAAAATCTTAAACCCCCTGACCCGGGAGCCACGAACACTCAGGCAGACCAAGGCACCGCACTCCACACCAGGTGTGGCAGGGGGAGGGGAGACGAAGATCTATATCATAAAAAGAAGTCCCAGGAGAAGGGAGGAGTCAAAGGCCCCACCTGACATATACAGTCATACACAAACACAGTCACACACTCCCTCCCTCATGCTCACACATGCACATACAACCCAAGACTTACGAAAATGCACGCCGGACACCCACTCGTGCTCCCCATACACACCCTATTCACTCTGGTCCCGGTACTGCTGCACATGGGGTACAACCATCACCGGTTCCCAGAGTTCGACCTTTTTGCACAGATTCTTCCTGATGTAAGAGGTGAGTCTCTTCTTTGTTTTGGTTGTTTTGGCGTCAACATCATCCTAGCGTGCAACGTTCTGTGACTCTTAAAAAACAGTAAAAACGGTGAGAAACGCTGGCAGCGAATGAGTCAACGGTGGCGACTGGTGAATTTTGTTTTGGGTGTGGCGCATTTATGCTGTCTGTAGATGTTAGATGTGCTAACCACATATCACCACTAGGGGACGCCAAATTACGTTTCTTATGATGGAATCCACATTTTCTACCTCAACAATGACAATAAAAAATGACGGTAGGTGCGCCCGTCAGCCATCCCCTATCATAGAGCAGGCTGCAGCAGTTGCCTCCCACCCAGTGCTTTAAGGCTGAGCAGGTGTACCGTCACTTCTAATTTGGGGTTTTCTGGTTAATTATTAGTTGAAATCTCTGAGATTTATGAAAAAGAAAATCTGTCCGTGCTCAAACATCAGCCATTCACAGTGCCCCCAGCACTGCCCCTCCCACCAGAATCGCGCTCTGTGAGTGTTGCATTTTGTGCAAAATGTGCATCACTACTGTGAGGCCCACCGCTTGTTCACCAGCAAGCTTCATCCCAGGCAGAGGAGAGGAAAAAAGAGACATGGTATCTGACACGGTGTGCATTCCCACATTGATTGACACCAGCAGCATCTGACCAACCAGTGGTTAAGTGTGCCGACAGGCATGTGGACCCACGGGTCTGGAAATGACATCCAAATGCAAATATAGACGGTGAGCAAGGCAGCAAGCACAAGAAGGAAATGTCAAAACAGAGGAGCGTGCTTTACCAACACTTTATCACACCCAAAGCGTCAAAACATGACGCGTGTGACCAAGCCTCAACATATGACGATTCTGGACGCCCCAGCGCGTCAGGAGACGACGATCAGGGACAAGCAGAGACACGTGGCTCCGCTGGCATCAGTGTTTGACGCACGCGGTCACACGGACATTATGAGACTGTTTAACCTTCCCCTCACCCCAATCCTAACCTTAAGGTCAGTAACTGTGACCTTAAGGTTAGGACTGGGGTGAGGGGAAGGTTAAGTAGTTCACAAGTCGTTCTAAAGTCCGTTTCACCACCGGCGTCGGATACCGACGCTCTGGGACGCTGCGTCATCAGTGTGTCCCTGATCGTCATCTCCTGACGCGCTGGGGCGTCCCGAATCGTCATATGTTGAGGCTTGGTCACACGCGCCATATTTTGATGCTTTGGGTGTGATAAAGTGTTGGTTTTATTTGAAACTGGATAAGTGTGAGCATAAAAATCCCAGCTGCTGCTGATGAGACAGAAGAGAGGATCATTCATGTGGACTGAAGATTCTCTTTTACAGCAGCCTGATAATCCTTTATTAAACATCTTGTTAATGCATAGACCATCACCTCTGGCTTATACTGTCTTTGGTTCAAAGCCTTTTAATTTGTGTTAACAATAGTAATGTTAATATTGGTGTATATTTAAGTAACACAGGAAATATAGGCCCAAGTCTGTCCGTCTTTAGTGAGTGAGAGATGCTTTCATCTACATTATATATTATAATGTCATTAGTTGTAGTACTTACATTAGCTCCATTGTGTAATTCCCCATTTAGACCAAAGCAAATGATAATCTGCTTGTATGATGGATTAACCCAAGCTCTCCCTGTTACTGTTGCTTTTGTTGATTTAGGGCACCCAAATGGCTAACACCGGCCCTGGCAATGCCTCTGTGCCCAAAGGCACCGTGGAAGGAAAAGTGCTTCTACTCGGTGCCCTTGTTGAGCCACGGTCTCGATCACATCAGCTGAGAAGCGCAACGAATGCTCGCGTCATGCAGCGATTGTTTCGGCGTGTCTCTTTGTCACGAGCCGCGTCAACTCTGACAGGAAGTCAAACCAAAAAGGAAGGCGGGTAAATTTAACAAAATAAAGAAAATCTTCTAAATCAAACACAGTGATTGATAAATGTGAGTATTTTTGTGTATCTAAACAGACTAGAGAGATGAAAATGAACACACACACACACACACACACACACACACACACTCCTGCAGAGAAACGGTTGCCATCATTTTAAATGCAGTTTTTACATCAAATGATGGATTTAATAAATGTGAATACAAACAAATAACCCTAACCCTAACGGTCTCTAACTTAGTAGGTGTTGGAATTTCCGAGTACGGAGTAAACGAACACCATTGCACAGGTGATATTTACCTGTTCATTTATTTGCTTTGTTTTTTTCTCATTTGGGGCTGACTGCTGACCTTTACGACCCAAGTTCTATAAAGTTGACTTTATCTTTGGGCACACAAGTCAGAAATTTTACTCACAAAATTTGAGAAGCCACTTCATTCAAAGATAATTAAACGTTGTATGAACTATTGCAGCCGTGGCCAGATAGGTCGTTTAGACGAGCACTACAACCGCCCCCAAGCAGAGCTGGGTAGGGCACCCAAACATTGTACTCGAGGAGTAGCAGTCTTTAATTTCAGCTAAATCATCCTAAGCAGTACGGGGGCCACAGGAAAGAGAAGAAGATCCCCCCCCCCCTTGGGCAGGGGGAGAACACTTGTATCTAACTCTAGCTCCACAACACGCTCAGGCTGCGCTACAGGAAACAAAGTTAAACAGAAACAAAAACCTTCGTGTTACCAGATTTTGCCAAACTTTTCAAGCGCTTCCACCAGGTCAGCCTCCACCACAGCATCACACAGCCCCCGCACATGGACAACCGGAGACGGGGGGATTCGGTGACTGTCCTCCACACTGTCCTGCAGGGAGCAAAGACCGGGTTAGAACATTCAAGAACATTACCAGCTAATAATGTTAAAATAATCCTAATAAATGTCTCTTTAGAGGTGCACAAAGACTTGTTTAGCCTCAGGAGCTGTGATTGGTATTTGTTTGTTCTTTTACAGAATTTCTGTTGGTTGTTGTGTTGTTGTTGTTGTGTTGGAGCGCATTAGAACAGCTTTCTGCTGATTGTAATTAAACAACACTAGCTAGTTGGCATTACTTACCACAGCATAACTAAGTCAGAACACAGCTGATGGAGCACAAACACAACTAGCTTTTACACAACCAAAGCAGAACTAACCTTAGTCACATGACTGGGAATAAAAACACATTCAGCTTCAATTCAATTCAGTTCAATAGTTGTTAGTTAGTTAGTTAGTTAGTTAGTTAGTTAGTTAGTTAGTTAGTTAGTTAGTTAGTTAGTTAGTTAGTTAGTTAGAGAGTTAGTTAGTTAGTTAGTTAGTTAGTTAGTTAGTTAGTTAGAGAGAGAGAGATAGTTAGTTAGTTAGTTAGTTAGTTAGTTAGAGAGAGAGAGAGAGAGAGATAGTTAGTTAGTTAGTTAGTTAGTTAGTTAGTTAGTTCGAGAGAGAGATAGTTAGTTAGTTAGTTAGTTAGTTAGTTAGAGAGAGTTAGTTAGTTAGTTAGTTAGTTAGAGAGAGAGAGATAGTTAGTTAGTTAGTTAGTTAGTTAGTTAGTTAGTTAGAGAGAGAGAGAGATAGTTAGTTAGTTAGTTAGTTAGTTAGTTAGTTAGTTAGTTAGTTAGTTAGTTAGTTAGTTAGTTAGTTAGTTAGTTAGAGAGAGAGAGTTAGTTAGTTAGTTAGTTAGTTAGTTAGTTAGTTAGTTAGAGAGAGTTAGTTAGTTAGTTAGAGAGAGTTAGTTAGTTAGTTAGTTAGTTAGAGAGAGTTAGTTAATTAGTTAGAGAGAGTTAGTTAGTTAGTTAGTTAGTTAGTTAGTTAGTTAGTTAGTTAGTTAGTGCTTTTAAGATCATATGATTTTATAGAGCCCGCCTTTAGGACGTGGATCATGGGAAACGTTTGTGTCCCTCTAGAAACTTTTACACACCAAAGTTTAGAGGAGGAAGGTCTTCTCGGTCTCTCCTAAATGTCGGTGCCTTGTTCTCAGAGCAAAGATCTGAGAATGTGTGGATGAAAACAAAAGCACGGCGGTTAGAATCGGAAAATCTACCAAGACGAGATGTTTACCGTCTCTGTCAGACGGCGGTTTCTGCAGGCAGGAGGGTTTTTTGCAGCCTGACCTTTATTCTGCAGCAGGTTGCAGCTGCATGCAGACTTGTGCAGATGTGTCAGGGTGCAGAAGACAGCCCAGAGAGAGGTTGACTGTCGGGCAGCTTTCAGACAGCCAATCACAAACGTGACTAAATAAAACACCATAGATAGGATCTCTGTTGCAATGCTCCTGGGTCATCACTCTTGTTCTTTTGACGTCTTTTAAGGGGACACGCGGTAAATTCTTTTCTTTATGAGCAAGTCTCCCCCATACTAGAGTCTTACTCCACCCACACTTCCTGGATGAAAAAAGGAGTTATAGGGAGCCTAAGTCTCCTCCCTTTCTGGTTGGCTCATGGGTCCCTGAGCGGGTAAAAGAGCTGTGTTCTAATCCGCTTTGCTTCAGGCCCTGGATCAATTCAATTCAATTCAAAAATACTTTATTAATCCCAGAGGGAAATTGATTGCTGTAGTAGCTCAGAATAATAATAATTATCAAGTCATCAAAGAGTTGTTGTATATTACAACGGCTGTTGGCAGGAAGGATCTCCAGTAGCGGTCAGTGTTGCAGCCAAACTGAAGAAGCCTCTGACTGAAGACACTCTTCCGTTGTCGGACAGTCTTGTGAAGAGAATGCTCAGGGTTGTCCATCATTTTCTTGATTCTCTGGAGAATCCTTCTCTGCATGATCTCCTCCAGCGGTTCCACAGTCGTCCCCAGAACAGAACCAGCCTTTTTTATTAGGCTGTTGAGCCTTTTCAGGTCCCTGCTTCTGATGCTGCTACCCCAACAGACGATGGCTGAAGAGATTACACTCTCAACAACAGACTTGTAGAAGATCTGCAGCATCTTGCTACAGACATTGAAGGACCTAAGCGTCCTCAAGAAGTGCAGTCTAGTGTGTCCCTTCTTGTAAACGGCGTCGCTGTTCTTTCTCCAGTCCAGTCTGTTGTCCAGGTGAACTCCAAAGTGTTTGTATTCCTCAACCACCTCCACTTCTTCTCCCATGATGGAAACAGTGTTTGACTCCACCCTGTTTCTTCTGAAGTCTAAAATCATCTCCTTTGTTTTGTTCACGTTCAAGGTCAGATGATTGTTTCCACACCGTGCCACAAAGCGCTCCACCAGCTCTCTGTACTCAGCTTCCTGTCCATCTCTGATACACCCGACAACTGCAGAGTCATCTGAGTATTTCTGTAGATGACAGGTCTCTGACTTGTACTGGAAGTCTGAGGTGTACAGGGTGAAAAGGAATGGTGAGAGTACAGTCCCCTGTGGTGCTCCAATGTTACTGATCACCTGGTTTGATGTGCAGTTCTTCAGCCTCGCAAACTGCGGTCTGTTTGTCAGGTAGTCTTTAATCCAGGCGATAGTTGAGGCCCCCACCTGTGTCTTCTGGAGTTTCTGGCAAAGTACATCAGGCTGGATTGTGTTAAATTCACTGGAGAAATCAAAGAACATGACCCTCACAGTGCTGCCTGCTTTGTCCAGATGACAGTGGGTTGGTTGAAGCAGCTGGATGATGGCATCTTCAACTCCAACTCCATGGCGATAAGCAAACTGCAGCGGGTCCTGATATGTTTTAGTTTGCTTATTCAGGTGGACCAACAGGAGTCTCTCCAGGACCTTCATGATGTGGGATGTCAGGGCAACCGGTCTGTAGTCGTCATTGACTGATGGGCGAGTTTTCTTTGGAACTGGAACAAGGCAGGATGTCTTCCACAGGACTAGAACCTTCTCCTGAGCCAGGCTGAGGTTGAAGAGGTGCTGCAGAATCCCACAGAGCTGCTCTGCACAGGCCTTCAGTACTCAGGGGCTGACACCATCTGGACCTGCAGCCTTGTTCCTGTTCAGACTCTCCAGCTGCCTCTTCACCTGACTTCTAGAGACAGATAGGTGGGAGGGGGAGGTAAATGGGGCTGCAGCATCTCCTGACTTGGTTGAAGACAGATTTATAGAACCAGATGAGTCCATGACTGCGTTAGAGGACAAAAGAGCTGGCGTGTGACAGGAAAATGTTGGATCAGAGGAGGATGGGATGTCTGATTGGCTGGGGACAGGCGAGGAGGATGCTGGGTTTGTTCCTGAACTGAACCTATTGAAGAACTTGTTCAGTTCATTGGCTGTGTCCAGGCTGCCATCTGTGCAATCCTTCCTCTGCTTGAAGCCTGTGATCTTCTTCATCCCTGACCAGACATCTCTGATATTGTTCCTCTGTAGGTTGTTCTCCAGCTTCTTCCTGTATGCCTCCTTGCTGTCTCTGATCTTGATCTTCAGTTGCTTCTGTATACTCCTCAATAATTCCCTGTCTCCCTCCTTGAAGGCTCTTTTTTTCTCACTTAGAAGATTCTTCAGTTCACTGGTGACCCAGGGTTTGTTATTAGCAAAGCATCTCACTGTTCTGGTGGGTATGATGTTGTCCACACAGAAGTTTATATAGTCAGTGACACATCCAGTCATGGCATTGATGTCCTCTTCATATCCTTGGCAGAGAGTCATCCAATATGTGGTCTCAAAACAACCCTACAGGGCTTCTTCAGCATCCTGTGACCATTTTTCTCACAGTTCTTCTTGTCACAGGTTGCCTCTGAACAAGTGGTTTGTATTCTGAGCAGAGAAAAACAAGATTGTGATCTGATTGTCCCAGAGGAGGTCTTGTTTTGGACATGTATGCATCCTTTACATTTGCACAACAGAAATCCAATGTTTTCTCTGGTGGAGCAGCTGACAAACTGTTGAAATGTTGGAAGTGTAGCAGAGAACGAGGCATGATGAAAATCACCAGATATAGCCACAAATGCATTGGGGGGCTGGGTTCGTAGCTTAGCGACAACAGAACTGATGGCATCACATGCATTTTCAGCAATGGCTGAAGGTGGAATATAAACGGTTGCCAAGACAACATTGGTGATCTCTCTTGGCAAATAATATGGGCGACAACTTACTGCCAAGAGTTCAACATCTGGGCTGCAGAGATGACATTTCACTGAAACATGACCTGGATGGCACCAACTGTTGTTGACAAGCACTGCCACTCTACCTCCTTTTCTTTTCCCGCTCCTCTTCACATCTCTGTCTGCTCGTACAGTCAGGATTCCTGGCAGACAGCCACTGGAATCGGAGATATGGTCCTGCAGCCACGTCTCAGTGAAACACATAACACTACACTGCTGACACTCTGGCTGAGTCCTTCAAAGGGCTTGGAGTTCATCCATCTTGTTGGCCAGTGATCTCACATTGCCCATTATGATCGATGGAAGAGATGGTTTGAATTTCCTCTTTCTCTGTCTCCGTTTTGCTCCCGCTCTGCACCCACGCTTCTTGCGTTTTAGCTCATTTGGGATTTGTGGCTTCAGCTGAGGTATTATTTCAGCCTTACCAATGGTAATCAGCTGCTCCCAATTGCAAACCAGCTTGTTGCCATGGTTACGCAACATAACAAATGCTCAAAAAGTGAAAAAAAAAATAGCTGTAAAAATCCTCCAAGCTTCACAGCACCAGAAACAGAAAAGTAAAATGTCCAAAAAAATACAGTTTTTCTTGAGAAACTAGAAGAAAAAATGTCCAAGAAAAGGCAAATTTTACATATAGTCAACAGAGCTACTCCAACATGCAGCCACCCAGAGCAGCGCAGTTCCGGAACCCAGGCATCACACACACATTGTACTGCAATTTAAATGTAAAGTAATGATGGGTGTTTGTACCATGCCAGTCACGTAGTTTGAGATTGACCATCTTGTAAAAGTTCG